GTATAACATGCAGACTAGTGCATTCTGTGTGGTGGTGGTGGTGTGATGCATTGTTACAAGGCATTGCATTGTTTACTTTTTCCTAATGTTACAAAATGACATTTCATTAAACCCCATGTAATGCACAGCACATGAAAATGCATTGATACGAAATGAATCAATTGGATGTAAATTGCCTTGTCTATATGTTGGGACTGCATGGACAGTACTGCCCCACCTCCGAAAGAGGCTGGTGAACAAGCCCTTGTGCCTTATGCAGGCTATAGACGAGTCATTTATCGACCGAATTTTCGTCCGAATGAAAAATCGGCCAATATTCACACTGTTAGTGGGGCAATGTTGTCAGCCGATTTTTGCAGTTCTTCTCGTTTCTTTTTACCGGTCATGCTGGAAAATCTATGAAAAACGACCGTTTTTCATAAGCATTGGTGCCAGCAATGATCGATTTTTCGTTTACCGGCCAACAATTCGGCCGATAAACGTCCCGTTTATGGCCTGCATTACGTACCAGTTTGATTAGTGGTTTCGCAGATATATATAATCCCCTTTTTTTTTTTTTTAAATTTCCTGCAATTCAACAAAGTGCCAGAAAAAGGTGTAAGATTAGCTGTAGTGTACAGAGCACACATCCCTAGAACAGAGAAGCATCAGAGATTCACATGTACAGTCAGGTCCATAAATATTGGGACATCGACACAATTCTAACATTTTTGGCTCTATACACCACCACAATGGATTTGAAATGAAACGAACAAGATGTGCTTTAACTGCAGACTGTCAGCTTTAATTTGAGGGTATTTACATCCAAATCAGGGGAACGGTGTAGGAATTACAACAGTTTGCATATGTGCCTCCCACTTGTTATGGAAGTGTTTCTCTGCAGCAAGGATTGGAGCACTTGTCAGGATAGAAGGAAAAATGGATGGGGCAAAATACCTTCAAATTCTTGAGGAAACTCTGCTGCTCTCTGCCAAATAGTTGTCAATGGGAAGAAGGTTTACCTTCCAACATGACAATGACCCAAAGCTCACAGCAAAAATGACCACACAGTGGTTGAAGGAGCAAAAGGTGAATGTCCTTCCATGGCCTAAACTTAAACCTCATTGAAAATCTGTGGAATGACTTGAAGACTGCTGTCCACAAATGATCACTATCAAATTTAACTGAACTTGAGCAGTTCTTCAAAGAAGAGCGGACAAATATTGCAAAGTCTAGATGTGCAAAGTCAGTAGAGACATATCCCAACAGACTAAAGGCTGGAATGAAACAAAAGGTGGTTTGAGAAAATACCGACACAAGGGGGTGATCCTTTCTCCAACTCAGTGATTCAGTTTTTGTATAAAACAAAAACTGTCTTCATTTCAGGCTGCAAAGCAACAAAATGTGATTATTCTAAAGGGGGTGATTCTTTTCTATATCCTCTGTGTATAGTAAAGCTGTAAAATCATTTGGTAATTGAGTAGTTGTGGCCCATCTCTTGCATCCATACCCTCTGAGCTACAGACCTGGCTGAAAGAAGCGCAGTGACTGAAGTTAGACACGCTGATCTGCATTCTTGTTTTGTGCTATTGATGTAATAATATTGATGCCAAAGCAGGGGCGGACTGACAACTCATGGGGCCCCTGGGCAATAAGGGATCATGGGGCCCCTGTGTCCTTGCCCACACTCAAAGCACACCCAAAAAAAGCCTATAAAAGGTACCAGGGGCATTTCATGGGGCCCCCTACTGACCCTGGGCCCTCGGGCAATGCCGAGTGCTCAAATGGTCAGTCCGCCCCTGTGCCAAAGGATGAGCAGGACAACTAAGCAGCCAGCAGTGGCAACCTACGTATTACCTTCAGACAGATTTAAAAACAAAAAAAAACAAAAAACCTTGACTCCTTTTCTGATATCTCCTCTAACCAGAAGGTGATCTCTCAATTCATAATATGAACACAAACGTGCAGGTGACCCATTAATGTTTATGCCTGAAGCTCTACCTAAAGGTTGGGTCCTGCTGCAGGTCCGGAGGTCTTCTGACATCTTTGTCCAGTGTGGGATTAAAAAAAAAACAGTTATACTCACCTAGGTGGATGCAGCATTGGTCTGATGCTTCATCCGTCCCCTGCAGCCTCTAAGACCGAGCGATCAAAGACCACTGATAGCTCAGTTCTCTGTCTTCACTGAGCAGTCACCACCTTTCTGCTCTACCCCTCCTGCACTCACTGGAACACTGGGCTGTGGAGGGAGCAGCTAGCTCAGGCTGCAGTGCCTTGCTGAGAGGCTGAGCCAGCCATAGTCAGGCACCTGGGTGGATCCCGACATTAATGTTGGGATCCCTACAGAGCTTGTACTGCTGAATATGGGTCACAGGAGTGCAGAACTAAGTTTACTCTTGTGACCCAGAGGAGAAGAATGCCCAAGAGAGCTTTGGTCCTACTTCTCCTTGTAGAAACAGGCTGAAAAGAAAAGCTAATGTGTGAACTGGGGTTTACCATTTCTTCTATTACTTGCCTCTGTCATCTTGAAAAGGCTGTTTTTGTTTTCTTTTTAAAATTATTTAGGCTGATTTCAGATGGGCGATTCTGTCACTAGAAATATTGTCATCTGCAAGGTTGCTAATGAGGCTGCCTGTCTGTCCCTGTGGAATTGCTCCCTCTGTAGCTAGGGCTCTGTCACCTGCCCAGACACTGTTGAATGTTGATCGTTAACAATAGGAGTGACGTATTACTGACGTCACTAGAGAGGGAGAGATTCCATAGGGACAGACAAGCATCCTCTTAGCCATCCTGCCACTAGCCTCTGTGACCCTGTTGCTGGCATTTTTTCACTGGTGGCTGAAAATATGGAAGCAGCCATTGATGATCCCTGAAAAGGATTAGCTATATTGTCCCCCTGGTGCTGATACTTTGAGTCACCGACTTGGAACAAGTTTGCAGATCAGAAGACTCAGTAAGTTATGTCTGCATCTTGTTCTGGTTTAGTGACTCCAAGTATTTGTCATAAGGTCAGCATGACGGGTCAGCCAAGAATATAACCTACGAAATCTCTGTGTCTCAGTGGAAAGGTTTCCTTTGAGTTATTATCGTGTACATTATTTCAGAGATTTACGTGCACTGAGCTGAGTCTCTACTTCTCATCTAGTAGATACTTTATTGATTTATTTATTTTTACATTTGTAATAAAACAGTTTTGTGATGTTGCTACCAGGACTGCTTTTCTCAGGGGCAGTAGAGTGTGTTGCCCGTCTAATGAGTCTTTATGGAATAGAAAACACTCCAGACCAGGGGCGGACTGACCATTTGGGCCCTCGGGCACTGCTCGATGTTAGTAGGTGCCCCATGAGATGCCCCTGGTACCTTTCATTGGCTTTTTCATAGGGTTTTTTGGGTGTGGGCGAGGACACAGGGGCCCCATGATCCCCCATTGCCCAGGGGCCCCATGAGTTGTCAGTCTGCCCCTGCTCCAGACAAACAATAACAATCAACCGTTTCCCCTACATGTAAATTTGCAGAGCAGCCAAATGAATGTTAACTTGTGAAAACTCTTAGGCCCCATGTACATGGGATATTTCTGAATGATGGAAACTGACTGCTGGAAAACGTAGGTTAAAAAATATCTGTTTAGCTGCATTTGCATAACACGTTTATGCACGTTTGCATTTAGAAGCGTTATTTTAAAGATAAGCACAGGAGAACCTCCCAAATGCCCAGAATGCACTGAAAAGTGGTAAATTATTAACTGTTTCAGAGAAATACAGAGAGTAGAAGCAAAGACAGCAGGAAGTGTTGAGATTAGCTTAGGAGTGAGTTGCTCATTAACATTTCTTTTGTTTCCAAGGGTGGGAAAGGTGTCTGCTGGAGTGAGTCATTCATGAGGAATGACTCCCTCCACCAGAGGGGGTCTTCAAGAGGAATTTGAGGTGTGAATGGTCATTAACATATCTTTTGTTTCCAAGGGTGGAGAGGTATGAGGTGTGAATTGGTCATTACAATGTGTGACAAGCTTGGTGGGAACATCCTGTGTTCAGTGTCTTGTCCATTTGAGTACCTTGAAAACGCTTTGCATGCATTTTTCATGAAGAAAAAAGGCTCTGGACAGCATCGGGAACTGGAAGAGTTAAAAAAAAAACTTCAAACGCTTATAAACACGATTTGCCGCGTTTAAAAGCGTTTTGCCTTTGAAATGCTGATAAAATCGAACGCAAGTTTTCTGCGTTCAAAAAAAGACTGTAAACTCAAATGCCTGTAAACGACTGTAAATGAAGATGTGTACATAGACACATAGGAAAACGGTGATTTCAGGGGCTGCTGAAAACAACACTGACCAGCTCTAAATGTGAGTTTGCAAGCTGCAGTGTACATGAGCCCTAATTGGTTGTTTCACTTGAGCTGGAGCTCCTTTTGGAAGAAGTCAGCCTTTCCCTGAGCATTCATCTGCTGTTTGTGTATAAGCAGAAATCTCTCTGCAGTGGTCTCTCTGCCACACTCCAACGCACCCCCTGTCAAGTCAGATCAATAGCTCAGTAATCAGCAAACCTCTTTATCGCTTGTGATTAGAGATCTTTAGATATGTCCTGGCAGGGACACACTGATAGCAGCGGCCCTCACTGCTGCTCAATGATATACAAAGAACAAAGGGACATCTGCTGCTCATAGAGGAAAAGGTATTTAATCAGTATTGGAAGACTGGGTAAGTTGAGATATATCCTATCACAAGAGGTAGCAAAGCAAAATCAATAACATAATAAATAATTTAATTTATTACAATTGATTGCACCCAATGTGATGCGGCTCCAAAACCGCTACTTGAATGCCTTCTGTGTACTGCTGTAGTTTGTATAATATCTAACACTTCTGGTACTATATAACTATATACTGTAGAACAATTTCTGCCCTTTGTGCAGGTTTGCCTTTTTGATATTGATGGTTTATTGCTTTTGGCATCAGCTTAAAAGTTTATAAGGTTCTGTTTGTTTCCTGCAGGCTACAGTCCTAGAATTCTAATACTGTCCCCAACAATGGCTCAGTTTGGAGGACAGAAGACGCCCCCTCCATGGGCCACCCAATTTACAGCGACTGCTGTGTCACAGCCAGGTAAAGGAATGCTCTGTTTCTGGGTCTTCCCCATATGTTCATATTCAAACATGGCTAGAAGTTATTTTTTGAACACTTCAAGAGTGTGATTTTACCTGCTTTCGGCATATGTCAGGAAGTAGAACATTTCTGCAAAACATCTGTTGATATTCTTGGTGATCAAGAGTTAATAAATTTGGTTTATGACGTTTTGTGGTTAAAGTTTGAAATGTGTCTCAAAGTTGAAACTGGACTTTAAAGTTTAGTTGGGAATACTCGTATTATTAACGTGAAAGTAGAACTAAAGGCAAAACTTTTTTTTTTTCATTTTGAATAGGTTAGGAAGATTTCCCTTTACTTCCTGTCCCATAGCCAAAACAGGAAGTGAGAGGCAATCCCTCCAATGTGAGGGAATTCCTGGCTATCACCAGAGCTAATGACCCCTTTGGAAGATTTCCCCTTTATTACTGTTCTTGAAACAACCCAGAAATTGAATTGGGGTTTTCTTTCACTTCATAAAGTGATAGTAGCAAATATGACCAATAGAGAGGATTAATCTCCTCAGGTGGGGGCACAGAGAGCAATAATGACCTAACTGGCATTCTAAGCTCTCTCCTCTCTGTCTAAAACTAAGAGAAAAGGTAGTTATTTGGGCAGCACGGCAGCTAAGTGGTTAGCACTTCTGCCCAGCAGCACTAGGGTTGTTGGCTTGAATCTCAACTGTGACACTACATGTACAGAGTTTGCATGGTTTTCCCTGTGCTTTGGGTTTCCTCTGGACAGTCCCCTGGTTAGGTTAATGGTCTCCTGATTAAATCGCCCTAGTTTGTGTATGTATGAATATGAGGTTAGGGGCCTTAAGCTCTTTGAGGGCAGGGACTGATGGGAATGTACAATATATATGTAAAGAGCTGTGTCAATAGTACCTGTAATAAAATACATAAATACTTGAAGGCTATATTATTCATAAAAGCAGTACTGCTATTTCCCAAAACTGATGTGATTTTTTTTTTATGACCAGTATGGAAGCAATAAATGCCATATTTTGATTTGCTTCAGTCTCTCAATCAGCATGGACTATTTCCAATCCTTATGCTGCTAGTATTAGTAATTGGATAGGAAAGTATATTATATTTACTTATTTTAAACTTTTTTTTTTTTTTTTTTAACATTTCTTCAGTTACTTCCTGGTTTCCATGTCTAGGCAAATGCTGTCATATATCCCAGCAGTCGTCAGGAGGGGAGGGAGGATTCTCAGCTCAGCCAATGCCTGGGCTAAGGCAGATGGATTCCAGGAAGTAAATGCTACATGAATCATCTGCCCTTTATCAAGATGACAAATGCCAGGGGGTGTTTTTCAAAATGATTTCTTAGCAAAGTAAAACATGGAGACATGAATGGATGAGTGAGTTTGTTTTGAATATTCACAATGAATTAAATAGCATTTTTGGTTTGTGGTCCTCAGATGCAGCTCAGTTCCACTTTAATGCAAGGTTGCCATCTCCAGTTGTGCAGTACTTGCTTAAGCATACTCCATATGGGATTGGGGGGTGGACAGGATTAATATGGGGGGGGGGTTGATTGTGATTAATGGCTACTCATCCCTACTCCTGTATAGACAATCATTGATGTAAATACTGCATTGTCTCAGTTTTTGCCTTTATAAAGGCCATTAGTATGGAGTTTTCATGGCCCAAAATGTACTTGAAACACTAAAGACTCATTCAAAGTGACAAGGCAACACAATGTAGGTGAATACACACATAGATGTGAGTTGTTCTTAATGTACAAATACTACTCCATGCTAGCTCCTTCATTTGGTAATAAGAAGTATACTTCAGCTTCGGGCAGGCATTGGATTCATTCCTGTGGTTAGCAGGGCATATTTGAGACCAGTGTAATACGTGTCTATTCATATCATATAGTGTGCTGCGAAGGCATTTTTTTTTAAAGTGATGAGTGGTAAGAGGGAACAGGTTTTTCCTAAGTAATCTTCCCATAGCTGGTATCAAAGATGACAAAAACCATTCCTTCCTGACTTGGAGATCATGTTTATTAACTGAACAGGCATTGATGTCACTGTTGCTATGAGTTGTGTCCTTTTGGCGAAGAATCTTTAGCCGTATGTGATTTACCCTGGTTATTTTTATCAGTCCTCCTTATGGTAACTATTTGGCACTATGAAAGAAATAGAACATCTGTGAGTGTTAACAGACTTCTAGATGGTTTAAATGCAAGCTGAAAGACATAATGTACTGGACCCCTTTCAGGATGTATTACAGGAGATCTAAAGTCAAACTATAAAAAAAACTTTCCTATTATAATGTTAAAATGCTAGGTGTAAAAATAATCCCTTACACCAGACAGTGATAGGTTCTCAAGCTATGTTTCAATGTTAGTTTGTTGACAGAAATGCTTCTTTTGGCCTTGTTAACGCTAGCAAACGTAAGCGAACATCAGTGTAAGGGTCGTGTTTGCCTGCGTAGGATTCACAGGTGTTCCATTCATGTCAGTTGGGACACAGTAGCTGCATGGACAAAGTCGCTGCTCCCAATTTGACATCCACGCGGGTGTGGAAGCATTTTTCTTAACCACTTCCAGGCCGAACACTTTTACCCCCTTCCTGACCAGGGCAATTTTCAGCTTTAAGCGCTATCACACTTTGAATGACAATTGCGTGGTCATGCAACACTGTACCCAAATGAATTTTTTACCATTTTTTTGAGACAGATAAAGCTTTATTTTGGTGGTATTTATTCATCGCTGGGATTTTTATTTTTTTTGATATGTAAATGAAAAGTTCAAAAATTTTGAAAAAAGTGTTTTTTTTATAAAAATTTTGCAAATAAATAATAAATCATGGGCAAAATTTATTCTGTTATCTCTTTAGTAAAAAAAAAAAATCCAAATTTGTTTATAACCAAAAATTATAATTTTTAAACTTTTTTTTTTTACATTTTTATTTTATTTTTTTATATTATTTTTTTTTTTTTTTTATTTTTTTTACATACTGTCACCCTAGCAGTACAGTGTCACCATGGTGACACTGTACTAGTTGTGGGGGGTGATGAAGACTTTTTTTTTTTTTTTACACTGATTGCTTTTACACCCATATAGGATGTAAAAGCAATCATTTCTCCTTCTCTCTGTCTGCATTCTTGCACTCATTGAGAAGTACTGAGTGAGCTGTGATTGGTCACAGCTTGTCACATGGTACAAGGCTGTTGTGAATAGCCTTGTACCATGTGACCTCTGTGATCATTCACAGATTTCACACGTAGTAAGCAATGATGTCACAAGTGACATCTTGGTTACTACTTTGCATGTGATCACTGATTGGCCAATCAGTGATCACATGATCGGGACCTCGCACAGAGGTCCTGTCCGACGATCGGTGTTTCACTGTTTCCGGAGGACACAGTGGGCACCGGATCGCGGTGCTGCCCGCTACCAGGGAGCGCGCACAACCTGACCCTGCACTGCCACCGTCAGGCCGTTTATATGCAACGGCCGGTCGGGAAGTGGTTAATACAGACGGTGTAAGTCCAGGGACATTCAACCTCATGCATGGATGCCAAATTGGGAGCAGCAGCTGTGTCCATGCAAACACTGCGTTCAAACTGTGATGGATGGAATCACCTGCATGTGGATGCACAGAATACCTGTGCATCCCCTATGGGTAAACATGGCTCTCCCATGGCTGTACGCTTAAGTATGCCCATGTGAATGAGGCCTTCATGTGACTTTTTATCATTGACTCCTTGGAATTCTGTACATTTGATATATCATCAATAAGCAGAGTTAAAAAAAAATCCATTCCAAGAAATGTCTCTTCATGATGTGTTTACTCCCAAACTTCCGCTTGTCTCCTATTCCTGTTTCCTGTAATCTCTCCATGCTGAAGCGTTGCTTTCCTGCCACTTCACATGATGTACACATTCCTTCTAAAGGACTACATATCCCACTTTACATTGCATCCAGCAAGCTGATGTCATATAAGGGGCATTTTCTATAATCATACTGCTTTCGATATGCCATCATCTTTAACACATTTAATTGGCAAAAAAGGGCTGTTCTGGAGGCAGTTCTCTACTGCTGATGTCACCGCTGAGCGTCTGGAGGCATGGGACTTGAAGTTGTATAGATAAGCTTTCTGTAATAGGAGACTCGGCTGTGCATATTCAGAGGGAATTAGATATTTGTCCCCCGAATTCCAGAAAGTTGGTCATGCAGGATCATTCTACATGTATGTTTAGCAATTTCCTAAACTTTCTTAAAAAAAAAAAAAAAAAACTAGCCTAGAACACAAGGAAATGAAATGACTCGTTACATAAAGTATTTATTTTATTTTTGTGAAAACAAAGAAACACAGCGCCTCTAAGTGTGTACTGTGAAGGTATTTAATAAAAATATAAGTAGTAACTCACATCTTAGAATTTAAAAACAGGCTCATGGGTGAGAGGGTGAGACGTCTGTAGCCAGAAGTTGTTGTGTGTCTGATCCAGAGAGGAGATCAATGGAGTCCGTCAGCAAGTGGTGCTGTGCATGTGCAACATGGATGGTAAGCCTGGTGGAATCTCCAAGGTATCTGCCAGCAGATGGTGCCGTGCATATGCAGCATGGATGGTGGAGCTTGGCAGAGTCTCCAAGATGTCCGGGATCAGCACATGTGGCGTCTGACGTCATCAAAATGCGACGCGTTTCTGAGCATGTGCAGGACGAGATGAGTACAGGCGCGCTCTTTCACCAGGCCTGACGTCTCACCAGACAGACGTCTCACCCTCTCACCCATGAGCCTGTTTTTAAATTCTAAGATGTGGGTTACTACTTATCTTTTTATTAAATACCTTCACAGTACACACTTAGAGGCGCTGTGTTTCTTTGTTTTCCCTTCTGCAGAGTCATGCTTCTCTCCTACGCAGCTTGCCCTTAGTGCCTACTGGACTACCTTTACCCCTGCCCATTTAGAACTCATCAAACATGCATGGACTGCCACACCATTCGCCTGTTATCCCTTTTGT